AGGCACCTCCGAACCTGGAAATCCAGTGCTGTATCATCACCTCAGCTACTGTAACAGCCTCTTGATCAGGAATAGGATAAGCTTCAGGCCACTTGGTGAAGTAATCAATGACAACGAGTATGTATTTGTTGCCATCAGCAGTTTGGCAGAGGTCCCAGGATGTCAAAGGCGATACGTTCAAAAGGCGCCCCTACGTTGTAACGTTGCAGCTTGCCTCGGCTGCGTCTCTTAGGTCCTTTCCGACCTGCACAGGCATCGCAAGATCGGCACCACTTTTGCACGTCATCCTTTGCATTATTCCAGTAAAAGCGCTCACGAACTCTCTGTAAGGTCTTCATTATTCCAAAGTGACCTCCCGTAGGGCTGTTATGTAGTTCTTTAAGGACATCAGGAATGCGGGATCTTGGAAGTATCAGTGCCATCGGAACGTCTTCCCATCATCCGACTCGAATTTCCGGTATAAGACGCCGTTTCGAATGTGAAGTGAATCCCAGAGTGCCCAGTATTGTTTTGTTGTAGGACTACAGATAGAAATGTCCTGCCATGTAGGTTTTTCTGTTTGATGACTCTCCATTAAATCAAGTATGGGTTTAATGTCACGGTCTTCCAGCTGGTCTTTCCTGACTTCATCATCACTCCACGGGTCTCGATCAGCCGATGTTGATGTTGTAATTTGTCTTGCGACCGGAGTCAGCAGCTCGTATTTCGCTTCCACCCTGGAACAATATCGGCAGCTTTCTTGGCAAGGTCTTCTAGACAGGGCGTCGGCGTTTTCCGTGTGATGATCCCTTTCGATGACGGATAGTGATGTCATATTCTTGCAGTCTCTGTATCCACCTGGCTATTTGACCCTCAAGGATTCTTAAAATTTAAAAGCCAGGTCAATGATGCATGGTCCGTGCGGAGGAGGAATTTTCTGCCGTATAGATAATGATGGAAATGTTCTACAGCTTTGACTATGGCGAGCAACTCTTTCCTGGTGACACAGTAATTCCTCTCCGGTTTAGACCAGGCACTTGCTCCAGTAGTACGCTACTACACGTTCTTGGCCGTCTATTTCTTAGGACAACAAAACCGCACCGACACTGTCATTGCTCGCGTCCGTGTCGAGAATAAATGGTCTGTCGAGCTGAGGATACGTCAGGATTGGAGCAGATGTTAAAGCTTCCTTTAAGTTGTTAAATGCATCCTCGCATTCTTTTGTCCACAAGAACGTTTGCTTGCTCTCTGTCAGCTTGTGAAGGGGTCTTGCGATGGAAGAAAAGTCCTTCACGAATCTCCTATAGTAGGTGCAAAGCCCTAGGAAGCTTCTCAGCTGATGGACATTTTCGGGACGTTGCCCAGGATTTAACCGCTGATACCTTTTCAGGATCCGTGCGTACACCTTCTGCAGAGATGACATGTCCCAGGATAAGTCACTTCCTTTCGGAACAATTTGCATTTAGCGGGGACTCAGCTTCAGATTGGCTTCTTTTTTCAGTTTCTGAAGCACCTTCCTAAAATTTTCTAAATGTTCTTCAAAACTCTTTCCGACGATGATGATGTCGTCCAGGTATATATCAGGCAGGCTTCGTAGGAAAGGCCTTTCAAAACAGTCTCCATAAGACGTTCGAATGTTGCCGGCGCATTACACAGTCCAAACGGCATCGCCTTGAATTGCCAAAGCCCTTGTCCCGTAGTAAATGCCGTCTTTTCTCGGTCATCAGGGTGTATTTCTACCTGCCAATACCCACTCTTTAAATCAAGTGTTGAGAACCACTTGCTTCCAGAAAGAGTGTCCAAAATGTCGTCAATTCTAGGAAGAGGGTAACTGTCTTTCTTCGTAACCTCATTCAACCGGCGATAGTCAACGCAAAATCTTGTTGAGCCGTCTTTCTTTCTGACAAGAACGATGGGAGATGCCCATGGACTTGCTGAAGGCTCGATAACATCGCTTTCTTCCATATCCTTTAAAAGTGTTCGTACCTCTTCCTGTTTAGCAAACGGTAGGACGTCTTGGATGTTGCTTGATCGGGTGATGATCGCCTGTATCGATTCTATGTTGCGTCAAACTAGTTCGACCCACGTCAGAAGACGAGCGGGAGAAAACAACTTGAAGATCTTTAATGACGCGATCGGCAGCATTCTTCTCTTCATCGTTTAATTGCGCATTCTGCAATAACTCCGATGTAATGCTCTCTGAGGACACGGGTTCTGGGATGTTGCTCTTTCTTTCAACGCTGGTTACTGGAGTACATGCTGCAACCACGTCGCCTTTCTTAATAACTCTCGCCTTCTCAGTTACATTGGCAACTCTCACAGGAATAACCATTCTCGATAAGTCGACGAGTGTTGAGGCTACTAGTACTCCTTTTCGGGGTATTAGAGTTATTGGGATATTCTATGATGCCGTAGCGAAAATCTCTGTTTTCGGCTATAGATCCAGGGAGTAAAATTTCTGTTCTTGCCGGTATTGTGATATTGTCTTGTGCTATGATTCTGTGGACAGATTTAACTTCTTCATTATTAATTCCAAATAACGTTATGTCCTCAGACGCAGAATGCAATTCATTATTTTTAAAGTCCAAGGAAAAATTATATTTCCTTAAAAAGTCCAATCCGGAGTATGCAAGGATCTGTAACTCTGTCTGCTACATATGCTATGTGATGGTAAGCGGCACTTCCAAACCTGATATTAACGTTCACTTTCCCCGCGATATCGATCTTCTCACCGGACACAGTCTGGAGGGTAACGCAGGGCGGCGTCCAGATAAGTTTGCTTCCCAATTGTTGAGCCAAATCTTTTCGGATGATGGTAACGTTGGCTCCTGTATCTATTGTCATATTGCAGGGAACTCCATTAATATGTCCTATTACAAAAAGTCCATTACTGTCGCCTCTCACTGCAGAAATCTGAAGCGCTTTAAACTGGGGCTTTTCATTATCTGGCAACCTCCGCCCCACGAGATGGCCACTAATTAGTTTCCCTGCTGCTTGCTAGGAGCGGGTCTTAACATCCGTGCCCTGGGGTGTTCTGAAGTTTCGTCGTATGTGTCCTTCAGCACCGCAGTTCCAGCACTTAACGGTCGGTTTCTTATCACCAATATTCCGTCTCAAGGCGTTGAGTTGTCTAGTTAAATCGTCTAGACGAGCAGTGACTTGATTCTCTGGCTGCTGGACTTGAGCAGCTCTCACGGGGTGGCGGTCTCGACGAGTGGCTTGCTGGGCTGCCTCGAATTTCATGGCGTACACTAAAGCACTTTTCAAATCTTTAACATCCGCCATTCGTAGAGCCTTTCTGTATTTCGGGATCCCGGATGCCATCGATAAAGTACTGCAGGGACAGGATTTCCCTCGTTTTCTCTCGGGCACTCCGTAAAGGCGAGGTGGGACAGCTTTTCAACATCTGTGGCGAGTTCCTGGAGTGATTCGGTGGGCTTCTGTTGACGGGATTTTAATTGAAGCCTGCTGTAGTCTTTTAAACATTTCTCGCCAAAGCGCAGTTCCAATGCGCCGGATAAAGCTTCGAAGTCAAGTCTTTGGTTTTCTGGAAGCGTCTGCAGGATATCCGCTGCGTCTGCTCTCAGAGAAGCGGCGAGATGGACAGGCCTTAGTTTGGGAATCCCATCCATTCGCATCCTAAACGATAGAAAATTGTGTTTTATACACTTGCCAGGATGTCTTTCCCATCATATGTGGATATCTTCAGAGATGGACGAGCAGGCATCGGTAAGAATTTAAAACCCTCAGAATTGCTTCCCTTGCCGTTCGCTATGCTCTTCTTTAAAGTGTCAACTTCTTTCGCAACGGCTGAAACCCTATCATCAATTTGTTGTTCGATTTGGTGTTCGACGGCAGAAACTCGCTCTTCTATATGGTCTTTTACAGAAGGAAACTCTTTCTTCTATTTCTTCTTTCACCGAAGAAACTCTTTCTTCAATTTGACCTTTTACGGAAGAAACTTTTTCTTCAATTTGCCCAACTTTATTTTCAACCACATCTATTCTGCCTTCCATAGCATCGAATTTGGTTTCCATTATGCAGGCAATTTCTCTTTTCATTTCGTATTGACTTGCTTTTCAATCTTTTTGACCACTTGTACGGCTTTTATTTCGTCTCTTTAAAGATTCCTGGCCCAATTTCTTTCTTCTTCCTTAACGGATTCTTGGCCCGCTTCAATCCTTTCCCTGATTATCTTTCTTTCATTTCTTCTTTAAAACGAGGTAAAGGCTGAGATCAACTGCCTTAATTGCTCTTCCATCGCTCTTGTTATTGGCATTCAAATCCCACTTCTGACACCAAAAATTGTTGCGTGCGTACGAGTTCGTTATGAAATGAATGCACAAGTCCGATGAAAAATGAACAAAAATTTATTATTATCACAACAAAAATGCTTACATTTTCTCAAATTATCATGCAGTATTACAATATCTCACAGTAGTTATCTTTTAACTACTCAAATGTCCAATAGAACGTAATTCAAAACAGCTAAAGAACGCTAATCCGCGAATTCGCTACAATCAACAAGAGCAGTTTTCTAAACAACAACAAACTAAGCAAGCAACTACTACGAACTGAGACGTTTTCCTCCTTTTATAAGATTTTAAAATCACGCGCTAGAATTTTCCAGTACTTTCTCGAAATCAAAAAGAGATATTTATTTATTTAATGCACGCCATCTTGTATTTTCAATTTTCCTGCTTAGCTTTCTTTTAATATTCGTCACGCCCTGCACTGCGCGAGAAATAAAACCATTTAATTTATAATTGAAGTAACATTAGCTTTTTAAATACCAAATTCGTAACAATATTCTTCATATTGAAGCCCTTAGAGCGTTAGCCTATTTCATACTATTTTTTATTTCATAGTTAAATTTAGAGCTCCAAATTTTGATTGTTTTGATATTACCGGTTACGAGAGATTTCATTATAATTATAGGGAAGATAATGTTGTAAGAGTTAAGGGTAGAAGAGGCTAATGAAAGAATGTCTTACAGTGATGATAATAGAGCGGAGACTCACGTGAGAGGGTATCTCTCCGCTTCATTTGACCTCCGATGATAGTCTCTAGAGGGACATCTGTCCTAGGAATGCTCACGCAAGCAGGAGGCAACATGATGCTCTCCAGGCAGCCAAACGTACATTCCACCGGAAGGCTTTTGTAGCAAGACGGATGAGCCTGCAAAAGACAAACACGACAAAAAATATTTTTAATGCGATGAACATACATTATATAGGTAGGAAAAGGTAATACAAGGCCCATAACCTTAAAAGAATAAAATAGAAAAATCTGAAAGGTCACCCAAAAGGGTTTTCTAATTTTTTTTTTTTTTTTCTTTCTTTCTTTCTTTCTCTGAACTTGCAATGTACCAGTCTGCTGTTACACTCACTATTACTAAATAAATTTTTTTTTGTCTTTTTAGCTTTATAGCTTGTTAGCTTTATAGCTTCTTTTAGCTTTATAGTCTTTATAGCTTTTTTTAGCTTTATAGTCTTTATAGCTTTTTTTTAGCTTTATAGTCTTTTTAGCTTTTTAGCTTTATAGCTTTTTAGCTTATATTTAGCTTTTTAGCTTGTTAAACACCATTTTCTTCACACTTACGCCATACACAACTGAAGAGCAAAATTACAAAAAATGTAAAACAGGCATGTGTTTAGAATTCCCGATGAAATGTTAAGTACTGGCATACATTTTCTACTTGTTTTAGTCCTTTCTGAGTTTATTATATTATGTGCGACCATCAGCCTGAAATAGTTATTACTAAAAGCAAAATATATTTAAAAAACATACAAATTTAAATTTAAAAAAATCTGAAAGCTTTTAGATTTTATATTACGCTCAAAGGGGTGTTTTTTTAGCATTTTGTGTGTTACGTAAATATCATGTTCTTCGCACTTAAACCATAACATTCAATTCAACAGCAATATCACAAAATATTTAAAAGAACATATCTTTAGAATTTCCGATACAGTCTGGCGCGCTGGAGATAAAAAAATGTTTCTTTTTCCGTACAGTGTTGCCGTTGCTCGCTTTGAAATCTTAGAGTTTCTTAATCAACAACTCATAAATGCTTTGATCAAAAGTGGGCAGACTGTTGCACTCCCTTCCCACGCCCTTTCTTCTAAACTCAACATGTGGATTGCTCGTTTGGGGGCGAGAAATTCTTCGGCTTTTCTGATATGGAGAACTTTGTAATATCTTTATTAGTTACTGATGTCGCAACTTTGACTGAATTACGGTTGAAAACATTCCTCTCTCCTCTGGAAACCGAAAATTGGCCCCCTTTCTATATACCTTTCCTTCGCACCTAAGCTTGATTATTCGCCCATCGGAGCAGAAAGACTTATCGGGTGCAAAACAAGACATCTGTCTATTTTGTCTGTCTGTCTGAAGCTTTCATTGCGAATGGGTATGTCTAGCATTCCCTAGAGTTCTAGGGGGTGTTGGTATGTCACTTTTAAAAGGGGGTTAGGTTTTTCTTAGAAATTTGGAGGTAAATTGTTGCCCTTTTTCTCGTTGGTTAGAGAGATGTTAAGTCAATCAAGCAGTTAAAATGTTAATATATAAAAAAAAAAAACCTTTTTACCGTAACATATCTAATAAAACTTTCTCATCGTTATTGCAATGAAACATGCATCCCGTTATAGAAAAATTTGATCTCGGACATATAGTGCGTGAAAACTTCTTCTTAATGCAGTTTTTCTCTCATGCCTCATGAATGAATTTCAAATTTGAAAAAAATAAGGGGTTAAATATTAAATATATTATTAAAATTAAAATTAGTTTGAAATATAGTACAATTCCTAAAATAAAATTAAATATGTTTATTTATTTTGTTCGCTATATTGAAATTTCTTGAGCAAAATGTTAACTTTTAGCCAGAAATTCAAAAGCTTGCTATTACAGCATTAAAATGCTAATCTTACGCGAAATTTATATGTTTATTATAATATTTCTAAAATATTAGGTTGTAATTTTTCCTTTCTGTTTAAAATTTTTTCACACTTAGATTGCCATGTTACCCTAGAATTTTATAAATATGGAATTTAGCAAGATCTATGATTCACACCGTTTACTGATCTAATCTAATTTACTGAATATGACGTCGAGATCTAATGTTTACTGATCTTAATAATAGTATGCGATCTAGTGGTGTCCGCCGATAACATCGCGGCAAAAACATCGCGGACGAAAACGTCGTGGAGAAAACAACGCAAGGCGAAAACGTCGTGCTACAAAACATCGCGGGAGAAAACATCGCAGTTCTAAAACATCGTGGTAAAAAACATCGTCGTCGAAAATAAAGCGGTTCAAAAACTTCGGAGTTTAAAAACATCGTCGTCGAAAATATCGTGGTAAAAAATAAAGCATCTACAAATCATCGCATGACGATAACATCTCAGACATGCTTTTTTCAGGTTTTAGTAATTGTAAATGGATATTCCCATAATGATTTGTGAGCGCAAGATGTAAAGAAGGATAATTTTTACTTTCACATTTTTTTATTAACAAATAAATTTTTTCTGAAAAAGTAAGAAGGAAACAACTTAAGCATAGAAAATTAAATGCAACTTACAGATTATACTTTTTGTAAAAAATCACCAGTAAAAACTTTATAAAAAATGATTTATTAATGTCCTTTGTTAGCTAACTATGTCGGTTTAAAATTCTATTAAGTGCTATAAGTTGCATTAATTTTCTGTGCTCAAGTTTCCTTCTTATTTTCTCCGCAAAAATTTATTAGTTAATAAAAAACATGAAAGTAAAAGTTATCCTTCTTTCCATCTTGCGCTCACTTGCATCATCATTATGGGAATATCCATTTCCCATGAATTTCCAGGCATTTATGAAAGCCTGAAAAAAGCATATCTGCGATGTTATCGTTATGCGATGATTTGTAGATACTTTATTTTTTACCACGATATTTTCGACGACGATGTTTTTTAACTGCGAGGTTTTTGAACCACTTTATTTTCGACGATGATGTTTTAGAATTGCGATGTTTTCTCCCACGATGTTTTGTAGCACGACGTTTTCGTTTTGCATTTTCTCCGCGACGTTTTCGTCCGCGATGTTTTCGGCTGTAACCGATCTAGTGTTAGTTGCAGTACTTTACCATTCGGCGCTCAGACGAGAAAGCGGTTAGTGACGCTTGCTGCTGTACCGAAATGCCCGGGTTCGAATCTCGGAGAAGACATCGATGTAATTAGTCCGTCCCTTCATTGAAGGCAATGGTGGCCCACCTATGCCTCCGTAATAAAGAGACCACCTCTTTCGCCTTTAGTTAGTGGAATGCCTATAAACAGCTAGAGCCCGCCATTTCGGCGAGGAGAATTCAAACTTGTGCATAAAAGCTACGGAAAATGCTTGGTAATGCTTCGTGAACAAGCGCTATGATACACCAGATTCTCCTTGGGTTCTAGTTGTGGCATCATTATTTTGATTGCACATGATTGCGTCAAAGCTCATCCCTTTTACATGAGACTTGAGAATTCTCCAGTGGTTTCTTTTTATGATTCTGGGCGATCTGTGAATAATGGACATTTAAACACGTACTCTAAACATAACAGTTCTAGTTCTCAATTAAAAGTATTATAAAGCAAGACGGCTAATTGCTTAAGTGATAAAAGCCAGGCATTTGTAAATAAATAAAGCTGTTATAGCATTTAAGGGTTTTCTACTCTACTTACCTGTTCAAAATTTCAGTTTACTCACCTTATAGGAGTGTTATTAATAATCTGTTTTCGTCAAACTGTACATTCACCTTTTTAATTGCTATTTATTTACATTAGATAGTTGATCTTTAATTCGGAATGGCGTATTGCAGTTCTTATACAAAACTCCGTAAATTCAGGCTTTTAATACTTCAGTTATTTACTTTTTTGTGCCTTAAAAGGAATGACAGTAAATTTTATTCAAAGATCTGTTTTTTGTTCCACCATTATTCCCTCTTCTTTTCCGCAAAGATGTAGTGGATCTGAAAATTCCAATAAATTATTCATACCTTCAGGTAATCTCTACGTGCATTTTTTTCTTCTTTTTTTCATTTTAAACAATTAATTAAGAAAGAAAATAGATAAGCTTTTAAAGAGCTATGGAGATTGTTATAGCTGCTATAGCAACAAGAATATAAGTTGCTTAAACTTGCAGTCTCGAACCAAAAAGCATCTTCAGCTGCAGGAGTGAAAATGGCGAAGGAGAAGTATGTGCTCATTCGATGACAAGATACAAAAAATTCACTTTTTAACTTTTGTCACATCAGTGGCTTCGTTTCATCTTCCTGGATTGAAATTTTTTCCATATTTTCATGTACTGTTATCACTTGAGTTCTTGTTTATCCTCTATCATATTCACTCCTACAGTTGAAGAAGAATGTTCTGTTAAATCTTCGAAACTAGTCCTATAAATTTCCTCAACTCACGCTGGTTCTTACTGAAATATTATTTTTAATATTTATTCTTCGGCATGTTATTTTAGTTACTACACCATATAAAGATTATTAAGAGGCATAAAATGCTCTCCATATTTGATATTCATATTTAACGGCAGACTACAAGATTTGGTTTGCTGCGAAGTTTAATAAGCTGTAGTTACGTGTAATTTCCTCTCTATCATCATAGCAAGTGGTAAAGATTAATTTATTTTCATCTAACCCGTTACTTTTATGTTAAACAGCTTTACGATCATTCTCCATTTCCGTTTCCTGCCAGCATGCTAATTTTTAGTTCGCTCATATTCATATGAGGTAGAAAGAGCTTGTATTTCAAGGAAGGTTTTTAGATTGGTTAGTCAGAGCGTATTTCGCCTGCTGAAGACCACGTTACTAGTTGCAATTCTACTATAGCAATCCTTCTTCGGTAGTGCGTTATTCTTGCTAATAGTGCTTGTGTGGCCGATATCGGTTTGAACCAACTTGCGCGTTATTCATTGCTGTGTATCTTTTTTCTAACCGACGGCTTTAATTTGAATTCCTTATCTTTCGAGTTACGCCACAAATGCTGGCTCGTTTGTAAGCAAAAGAAATGCCGTCTGTTAAACTGTATTGAGTTCTGAATAAAAAGGTCTTTCAGACCCTTCAAGTTCTCTATCACGTTAGACACAGCAATAATCGCTTACACGTCTATTCAAGGATTTGCCGAAGTTACAGTTAGTTCCAGGCACAGTCCCTGCAAAATACCGGGTGGCCATAATTAAACTGAAAGTGCTCACAGTGTTCTGTAGCGCGATCTATTTGCGAGAATGACGCCACATTTTGTAGGAAGATTAAACAAGACGGGGGACGAAGGATTCCGCGAAAAAACAAATTAGTTCCAAAAGTAACCGCTAGGAGAATATTTGGCACTGTGTAATAGAAAATAGAGTGTTAACAAATGCAAATCAACACGGAAATTACCTTTTATTTTGCATTCAAATGAGGTTCAATGTGGCTGCCGTTGTTGTGGACCACATATTGCATTCTGTGCACAGTATGCACAACAGCAGAAAGTAACATGTCTGCAGGAATCTCCCGTACAGTCCGTGATATGTTATCCTTCAACGTAGCCAGGTCCTCGACCACTCCTTGATAGACCTTGGACTTAATCCTAATCGGTTAATGCACGCTCGACTAAAGAAGGAACACATAAACTTTCAATCCGATTGATTCGAAACGTAACACATTGCCTTTTAAAACCCAAGCAGCTGGCACTGTGCGAATGGATGTAACGTGAAATTTGAATAAAGAACTTCTTCTGCTCAGCGTACGTGATATTGCAGATCACGAGACTTTATCAGTGTTTATGTAGATTTTACGTTTTTTAAAAGTGTTGCCATATTGCACTTGAACTAAATCAGAAAATGTGCATAATAAAAGGTAATTTTATTCAGTATTAATTTGCATTTGTTAACACTATTTTCTATTACACAGCGCCAAATATTCCCCTAGCGGTGACTTTTGGAAGTAATTTGTTTTTTCGCGGAATCCTTCGTCCCCCGTCTTGTTTAATCTTCCTACAAAATGTGGCATCATTCTCGCAAATATATCGCAGAACACTGTGAGCACTGTCCGTTTAATTATGGCCACCCGGTATATACAAGAATACTTTTCATAAGCACTTTAGATATTATTAATGAAAGCGGAAAATTATGTAGAATCTTGTGCTTAAAGGAATCATATGTAAAATATCAAAGATGCCAGATGAAGACATCAATGTGTATGGCACATGCTTTCATGTATTACTGGAAGAGATGTTTCACTTGAGATAATGCTTAGAAATCGTACATAAAATATCAAAAATACCACAACTGTATGTGGCGCATGAAAATAATGCTTAGGAATCATTCTAACTAAAACATTTTATTATATACAGTACTCACCGTAATATTGCACCATTCACATCGCATTCCTGCTAAGCATTCGGCAGACCAACATGTCTTCTTGCACAGCTGGCACTTGGAATTGGCAGGCAGATTGCCTTCTCTCCAATGGTGGTGTTGCGTTAAAGTAGACTGGAAAAAAAAAAGTTTCTTCGTTACTGAATATTGTTAGAATACAGTCATCATTGAAAAATTCTTAAATTTGGCATACAGAACGCTAAGAATCTGGCTGGTATTCAAGTTACTAAGGCGGATTTAATTTATCTCATGTGATGTTTCGATAAAAGTGAGTGTCTTCCAGTTGTGCACCTCCCTTTTTGGTTGCAATCAGCCATATCAAATGTAAAAAAGGAAATTAAGTTTTAAGAAAACTGTACTAGTTTAGTTGGCCCATAACATCATCAGACACCTAAGAGTTAATCTCATATCAATGTATCTTAAAAGAAAATGCAAATATTTGTAAAAAAATTGTAAAAATTTACGTGATTATACCTTAAACTGTATTCCCTTCATTAAAATCGCCTAGAAATATTGCCAAATGTATATAAATATATACATGTAATAATAAAATTCCATAGTCAAGAATACTTTTAAAATTCTGACTGCATGTTCTTTTCGTTTTTAATGGCGACGGTCTCTTATTTGAAAGTACGTGGAGTGGCTGATTCTGGAAGAATTAAAGAACATAATAATTATTAATGCAAATATTTAACTTGTAAAATTTTAAATGATTATACCTTAAACTGTATTCACTTCATTAGAATTGCCTAGAATTCTCTGTAAGCACTGTTAAAGTTTTATAAGGAAGCTGCGTTATGGTTGGATGCAAACTAAGAAAGTTATAGAAGAAATAATAATCAGAGAAAACGAAGAGAAGGAAATAATCTCATGGAAGCTGCATTAGAATAGGCTGATTCTGGAAGAATTAAAGAACATAATAAATATTAATGCAAATATTTAACTTGTAAAAATTTAAATGATTATACCTTAAACTGTATTCACTTCATTAGACTTGCCTAGAATTCTCTGTAAGCACTGTTAAAGTTTTATAAGGAAGCTGCGTTATGGTTGGATGCAAACTAAGAAAGTTATAGAAGAAATACTAATCAGAGAAAACGAAGAGAAGGAAATAATCTCATGGAAGCTGCATTATAATAGGCTGATTCTTTAAGAATTAAAGAACATAATAAATATTAATGCAAATATTTAACTTGTAAAAATTTAAATGATTATACCTTAAACTGCATTCACTTCATTAGACTTGCCTAGAATTCTCTGTAAGCACTGTTAAAGTTTTATAAGGAAGCTGCGTTATGGTTGGATGCAAACTAAGAAAGTTATAGAAGAAATACTAATCAGAGAAAACGAAGAGAAGGAAATAATCTCATGGAAGCTGCATTAGAATAGGCTGATTCTGGAAGAATTAAAGAACATAATAAATATTAAAGAATAAAATAAAAATGAAAAGATGAATGAATAAATGAAAGAAAATAAGTTATTGAAGATAGAGACACACTTGAAAGGCCTTGGCAAAGACCTAGGTGTTGAAAATGAAACGCAGTGTACCAATTCAGAAAATACTACCTGCAAAATGGAATGAAAATAATTCAAGACAAATAACTCTATTTTTTATAAATAAATAGTCGAAACTATTCCTTTTTTGTACACAATGTTCACAAAAGTCCTTAACTCTTTAACGACTCTTTATTTTTTTAATCGTTCATTCGTAAATATATATTTATAATTAGGAAAGTGTTTTAAGAATTACACAAGTATTAATGTTCCGGTATTTTAAAATTTAAAGAACTCAGTGTTGTAAAACTGGTGAAATCTAGCTTTTATGTCGTTACGAATTTTGTGTACATGTAAATAATTTTAGAGAAATTTTGTGTGAAATCGCAGTATCCTTTATATAATTTAACATGAAATGCTTGAAAAAGAAAATCTCTGCCGGAAAAATAAGGTTACAGGAGTAAATGTATTTAACTTTGAGGTAAAATCTCGTAAAACTGGCGAGATATCGCAATGCAACGGATTTGGCGACTAATTTTTTTCGCCAATATCACCAAAGAAATCGCCAGAAATCCTCAAACTTGGCGACGATTTTGGGGCATTGTGGTCCAGTCCCTGACTACTGGAATATTGAGAGATCTCCGTGTGAACTTCGCCTTTACATAGCGCTGTGTTTAATTTTCTTAATAGTTTGAAGTGTAGCTGCTGATTGTACTTTGTGATACTGAGAAAAGCTGTATTTTTATGGAAAGTTCCAGAACTGTAAAGTTTTCTTTGGGGAAAATAAATTTTATCAAGATATCATCGTTTCTGTGTGCATTCAATCCATTGCATGAAAAAAAAGTAACACAAAACATTTGACCGCCATACGGTAAAAACTGATCTATGAGATATTTAATTTCAAAATTTGCAATTTTTGACGTCATATTCAATTTCCGTTCAGGAGTCGGTTAATGAATGAATTAGAAGAAACCGAGGTGGATATTTATTCCCTTAAATACCATTCAGTTATATTGTTTTGTGAATAACTGGTGTTTTTGTTTATAATTTTGTTACATTTCGTATTCAGAACGAATTTCCGAATTTCAAGTAATTTACAAATTTACAAGTTTAAAACGTCGTTATTAATATTCTTATGAAGTTTTATTATTCTTCAAAATCTGGTAACCATACCAAAAATTCATTAAACTACAAATATTTTTTCATTTTTAACAATGCAGATACTGTTCTTAATTTTCTTCATCCTCAAATGGTCGCCAATTTTGGCGACTTTTGTCCTAACCATTGCCAGCTTGGCCATAGCTCGCCAATTTAGCAAGATAGCCTCAATATTAAATCGACATACCTTTGTAACTTTATTTTTACGGCGAAACTTCACTCTCTCAGAATTTTCATGTTACATTACACAAAAGATACTACCATTTTACTAATATTAATTAGATATATGCAAAATTCGTAGCTTCTTTCTCATTCCTGCAGTTCTCTACTTATCGTGTGATATATATAATTTATTTTAAGTGAGGATGCTGTTTTATTGCATTGTACACAATCAAATAATAATAATAATAATTATAATAAATGATAATATTTTGTTGCAGTATAAAACTTATAGATGTATGGCGGGGTATATTTTTTTTATGAACCGCATGTGTCTTAAACTCACAAGCCAACACATCTGCATTTCTCTTTCCTTTTGGGATCATATCAATTTATAATCCTTAACTGTTGCATGTTCCTAAAATTTATTTCAATTATTACGTTATTTTTATGTTAAATCTGACCTGTGTTCCTACTTTCTCCCACCAGTTCTGCCAAAAATCTGAAATTAAAAGAGTTTAAACAGTGAATGGGAATCTGAATTGGCAGAGAGAGGTTTAGAAATACTACCAGCCAGTTCTCTTTTCTTCACGCCCCATTTCAAATAACTGTTGATTTCGGTGAGCAACTTTTCAACTTTTTAATATTTGTTATTAGAGATCGGATTTACGTTTTAGAAGCCGAATTATCATATATTTAAATTATTATTTATTTGTTATATGCATTGGTGAATCTAAGTTATAAGTTCTGTATCAGTCTTACGTTTTAAATTACCATACAGCTAATTATTTTAACATAAAAAATGATTTAAAAAAGGACTCTTAAATTAAACACGCGGAAAAAAATTACTTACAACATCTCGACTTGGAACATAAGTTGCACATTCTTTACAATCTGCAACTCCGAAATCTTGGCATTCGACATGGACAGAATAATCACAAACTGTAAGAAACATAATATTTTTAGTTACAGAAATACGTAAAATTACGAAGCTCACATGTAAATAGACTTTAGATAATACTGACTATGACAGCAAAGTTGTTTATATTACAGTTCGTATAGAAAGTTTTGTTTAACGACGGCACAAGTAAGTTAGACTAGCTGTTAGCTAAATATATGCGTTTAACTTTTTGTAAAACTAGCCACTTGAGTGGCCAGTTGTCTAAAGTAATCATTTTACACTCATGTCCACAAATTAAGGATAATTCGGAGCCACGCGGAACTCGAACTCTAAAATAAATATATCACCTGTAAAATCACTACACACATATGCAAATTTCAGGAAGTAACCAGATGACACCGATGGTACGTCACAATGACGAGAGTGTAAGAGAGTGATATGTAAGGAATACAGACAAAGAAGTAAAATTATTCGCAGGCGCTTTATAAGCATTTCAGTGCAATAACCTAATAGTTATGACAGAAAGGACGCATTTGGATGATTTTTTACGTGGTAGAATTATCGGGCCGTCTGGAATGTGGGCGTACCCAACTGGAAGTATCAGAACTTGGAATTGCCCAGAGTGTCATCTCCAGGCTTTGGCAACGATTCCAAGATGATGGTAATGTGAGTAGACGTTACAAGCACAGGTCGCCCCAGAGTTACAACGCCGAATGAGGACCGGTATTTGGCAGTTACTGCCAAAAGAAACAGGCGGAGCACAGCCCCCAGACCTGTCTCGTCAGCTCTCTTCAGCCACTGGGACGACAATTTCAAGGCAGACCGTGTACAGACGCTTAGGGCAGATTGGTCTATATGCTCGTAGACCTGTCAGATGCGTTCCACTTACTGCAACTCACTGTCGCCTGCGGTTAGCCTGGAGTAGAGAGCATGCATTGTGGACACCGCAACAGTGGGCTTGTGTGATGTTTTCCGACGAGTCCAGGTTTAGCTTGCAGTCTGATTCTCGCCGGACTTTCATATGGAGAGCTCCAGGTACCCGTTACCACCAAGAAAACATCATTGAACGACACCGTTACGGTGGTGCAGGAGTGCTCGTTTGGGGTGGAATTATTCTGGGTTCCAGAACTGACCTGCATGTTCAAATTGGAACCATGACAAGCCAAATCTATCGGGACGTCATTCTGGAACAACATGTACATTTGTTTCGGGGCGCCATGGGCGCACAATTTGTGTTTATGGATGACAACGCCCGTCCTCACCGTGCAAACATCGTAAGCGAATGCCTTCAATCGGAGGATATCACCCGTATGGACTGGCCAGCATTCTCACCGGACTTGAATCCAGTAGAGCACGTGTGGGACATGCTTGGCCGACGAGTTGCAGCCCGTCAACCTCCTCCTACATGTCTACCGGAACTTCGGAGAGCATTGCTGTTTGAGTGGGGTAATATCCTCCAAGATCAGATCGATAATTTCATACTCAGCATGCCTAGGCGTTGTACGGACCGTATTGCATCGTCTGGGAGACATACAATGTATTAACAATCATACCAACCATGTAATATTGGTTTTTTGTAAATAGGGTAATAATATCAAACATATAGCATCTTTTTTTTGCTCTTTACCTTTTGTTTAATAAATTAGCTTTACAAATAAGTCAAATTTGTTTTGCTTCTAATTCTTCCTTTGCCTGATTTTGCATTATCCTTAATTTATGGACATGAGTGTAATATAGATAGATAAAAAATACAGTATTGCAGAAAATTGTTTGAAACAAAAAGAGCTTAAAATTATTTCTGCGCAAAACGCTGCTGAAAAATTAATCAGTTATAGACTAACAAATAATAAATTCTGAACTATTCTAAGACATGAAAGAAATTAAATTTAAAATTAGTGCTATTTTGAAATTATTAGTTAAAAATGTTAGTTTTTTGTAAATGAAAAGTTTTTTTAATTAAGAGTTTTTAAATTAGGATAAATTTTGAAAACAATAGAAATGCATTAAAATATATAAAAAAACGGAAAAGAACTACAATTATAATCTGAATATTATCGAGAGGAGTTAGATCAGACCTCAATTAAACTCTATGTTCTAGACAAACCACTTTGTTTCTGTTCATCCAAAATTAGCTGATGAACCACTTAGAATGATTTAGACATCCGAAAGATTATATATGTTCATCCGAAAATTTCGAATACCTCCTTTAAACACCCGCTTTCATTTCATATAAAGTAATACAAAAATAAAATACTCTAAAAATACAAATTTAAATAAAATAAATTAGTGTTTCCTATAAGTTACTATATACAAGTTACTAGTACAGAAATTCAAATTTTAACTCAATAATATAATATACATTTTTTACTAAAAAATTTCAAAATAACTCTGATTTTGAATTGAATTTCTTTCATACATTTAAAGAGTTGGTTCAGAATTTATTAATTTTTAGTCTATTAATAGATAGAGATATTATAGATACCACTGATAGATTTTGAGAACTAGCTCCTCTTTTTTTTTTTTTTTTTTTTTTTTTTTTTTTTTTTTTTATATATATAATAATTTTAATTCAAATTTCCATATGTTAGATTATTTTTATTTTACATGTTTTTTGACTACGCGTACTTAAACTGATATTATCATAATTAAATTTTTAAGCTTTTTGCTTATTTATGATTTTGTTGCTATAAGAAGGTTTTAACCCTACATATATGGATTCAAAATTTACGTATATTTTTATTTTTCGTGTATTGGATTGCTTATATTTACATGTTTTGTTTTGTTTTTTAGACTCGGTCCACTCAAAATAATATTTTTTTTTAATTTGTTAATGTTTTTGATGCTATAATTTTGGAATTTTTTACACTATTTACTCCGGCCTGTAAAGCTTAGGATGATAAATATACAGATGATTAATTGTTTTTCAGAAGGTTTTTAAGTTTTAAACTTTAATTTGTCTCTTTATTGGTTCAGAAACAGGTAGATTTATTTACTTCTGTCTTGCATCCCCCCCCTCATGATGAAGATGGCATATTTTGCCTCCTCCCCTCCCCCCCCCTTTTTTTTTTTTTCTTCTGCCAATGTGCGTCTAGTTTTTTAGTTTTTGGATATGTTTATTCCAAATTGAATAAGGGATGAAACTTAAACATATTATTCATTTTAGTTTATTCTGCATTATTACTATCACTTATTGCTGCTTCCAGTGTGCAACTGGATTAGATCTTGAACTGATTTTTACTTTGCATTTATTCTTTTTCATGTAAATATATAGATATAAGTACAGACAAATAGATAGATAGATCTTAAATAGAAATTTAGCTTGCTATGTTACTAGTTTTCATTTTGACTAGTATATATATCTTTGTAGCCTGTCTCATTATAAAAATATTTTTACGCTTTATAGGAAAGGACATTTGCTAATTATTTACAATAGGACTCTCTGGAACTCGATTTTTTTTTTTACTTCCTTGTACGAGTAAAGGAAGCATTGTATTTATGAAAAATTCCGGGTGTCATATTTCAGCGAAAATATCCATTTTGACCGCTATCGAATGCAATTTAACGATGTTTTGCCATGACATCTGTACGTAAGGACAGAATAAAGGACTATTTTTCCTCAAACGAATTATAAAACTAATTAAAATGATTCAGAAACTGATAAAACTGATTTAAAATGGATTCAGAAGAGATTTTTTTCATGGCGTCTGTACGTGCATACGTACGTATGTATGTATGTATTTCGTATAACTCAAAAATAAGTACCTCAGAATGCTGAAATTTTGTATAAATAAAAGTAAATTCTGGTTACCTAAAGTAAACGGCTAAAGCCACCACATTTATCAAAAATAAATGCAGGTTACCAGGGTAAATAAAAGTAAATCCTAGTTATCAGCGAAAATAAAAGTAAATATTAAGTACCAAAATTAAACGGCTAAAGCTACCACCCTTTGGAAAAGTAAACCTTGGTTACCAGCGGAAATAAAAGTAAATGCTGGTTATCAGCGAAAATAAAAGTAAATGTTGATTATTAAAAGTAAACGGCTAAAGCTACCACCGTTTGCAAAAATAAACCCTGGTTACCAGAGAAAATATAAGGAAATGCTGATTACCAAAAGTAAATGGCTAAAGCTATAGCCCTTAAGAAAAATAAATGCTAGTTACCAGCGAAAATAAACATAAATGATGGTTATCGAAAATAAATGTTTAAAGTTACCGCCCTTAGCAAAAGTAAATGCTGTGGCTATCAGCTTTACCAAAATAAATGATTAAAGCTACCAATCTTACCGAAAGTAAATGCTGCTTTCGGTGGTTAAATTTTAGAGTGTGATTTTCAATTTCGAAATTCTTATCATGATATTTCTAATATTCTGAAACTGCAAGATAAAATGGGTTCACGTCTTTAATAGAACTTAAAAACATAATTCTGTTTTATTGGTGTGAAAACCTATGTTCGTTACTAAATCCTGTTATTTGTCGCTAAATAGGTCAGTTGTAAATCTCATTTTGATGGATTTTTTTCTCTGCTAACAACCTTCTGCACTAATACTTTAAATTTAGTTCGAAGTAAAGATAAATCTCTTGTAAAATAAGTAACAGAAGCTTACCTTCACATCTTACTGCGCAACTGTCTTCGATTCGCTTCCGACAGACGTTGCAGAACCTTCTTTTGAGGTGTCCCGGCTCCCCCCAACAGTGAGGAACAGGATTCTGGGAAAGCAGAACAAAACAAAATGTAAGAAAATTTCTGATCCTTTTAAATAATCAATATTAAAATGCAAAAATATTTTGCTGCAAATTTACAAAAAATCGCTTTATTTTTAGAAATGTGACTAAAAATGAACATAACTAAGAATTAAGAGTTGTAATCGTTCACATTTTTATAAATATTTTAATCACATTTACTATCTCCGAATATATTTTCAAAGGTATTGTCATTGACCTACTTTTCGACCAGGCGTAAACAAGCTTTATAACGCTTTATGTGTCATGAAAATTTAAATAATTAAGAAAATTCAGACTTTATGGAATGCCATAATCGACTTGCGACTTTCACGATAACTGATTCACCAAGCACTTAAAGAATTCAATTTATCATCAAGTACTTTATTAAATAATTCATATATACTTCGGTTATTTTAGCTTCTTAAATTACGAATCAAATGGGTACATAGCGTAAAAGAAACGTTTGCCTACTTTCAATATCATCTCGTCATAACTGACATTTTCAACACCTTATTTTTAAATTTTCAAATCCCGTAATTAATCTTCCCAATTAAAGGCTCAATTAATAAGTAACACTGCTTTTCATCGTCATATGATTTATCGGCCATCAGTAGCCAAGCAGTAAAGTCACTGAACACTGGTAGTTCGTTCTGGGTTCAATTCCTGGAGAATGGGCTGACTGAGCGAGCTTTTTCGTAATTTTCCACCTGGTTAGCGTTAGTTGCTTATGGTTACGTACACTAGGGCTACCTGCCTAGAGGAGGGATGCATTCGTGGAGGACAGTCTAAGGGTAACTGGCTCGTATTACACGTTACACATGACGAAAACGTCCATCCACCCAGCCCAACCATGTCGGAACTAACAGTGTTCAGCGATTCTACCGCTCTGTCTCTGGTGGGCGTTTTCTCGCATGAGCAACGTGGTTACGAACCAGTTTCCTTTAGAAGGAGTCTTCCACGGAGGCATTCCTTCTTTTGGGTAGAGAGTCTTAACGTTCTTTATCATAGGCAGATAAACTGCAAAACCCAAACTGACGCATCAGAAAGACTGAAAATTTCCTTATCCTGCTTATAATACATTATCCTACAGACGTACAAAATATTAGATTCTGTTTCAGATAATATTCTATACTGAAATCCTAGAAAATAGGCCTAGGTTTCTTGCAGGTTCGTGTGATAAAAAATGAACTTCTCTCTTTCTTACTTTAAGGGGACTCGTACACCTTAAACCCCTTATGATCTTCGAATATGTGGCTGTTGCTAGAATTGGGATAACTTATTTATTTTGAAAGCAATTACTTCCAACTTTTTACGGCTGACTACATAATATAGCTGCTTTCTGAAATCGTAATCAGAAAGTTTGTGTTGCCACACATATTTTTATAATTTAATCCGCTTTGTTTCAATAATTTTCGTCATGTTTCCACCTTGCGCGCACAGTTTAAAATTATCTGTTGCATTATTTAATTCCATAGTTTATATATAGCGTTTATAACATTTGGAAACTACTGTAAACCAAAAAACTCAGAATTTCATGTTAAATTTTTATTTTGTTTGGAGTCGAGTTTATAAAATATATTTTATTAAAAAAATCTGTAATGTTTTCCTGCAAAATTTTTAAATATTAAAATATTCACCAGATTTTTGATTCAGTTAGAAAATAGTGCCCATATAAAGAATTCCATCCGATTTCAAGTATGTACCATTAGCCATTTTTAAAATATCATTCGCGCAAGGTGGAAAAATGACGAAAAAATTTGTCACAAAGCGGATTAAATTACAAAAATATTTGTGGCAATACAAACTTTCTGGTTACTAGTTTCCAAAGCAGCTATACTATGTAGTCATCTGTAAAAAGTTGATGGTAATTACTTTTAAAATAAATAAATATCTCAATTCTTGCAACAGTCACATAATTCGAAGCTCATAAGGGGTTTAAAGTGTATGACTTCCTTTAAGAAATCTATATATTTTATATAACTAGCCGCTTTCGTGGCTAGACGCTTAAAATATTATATATATATGTGTGTGTGTGTGTGTGTGTAAGAAAAAGAAAAAATACGTAAATCATAATTTAAATTAGCAATAGCCTTAGAATGCTTAAATTTAATTTGTTTATTTTCCCTCTCTATTCTAAAACTACTAATTTTTTTCTGCACTGCGTCATTTCGATGCTAATCTACGTCATATGGCTCTTACATAACGCTGGTGATGTAAATGGAACTAAAACGGCGAATAATAATTTTACAGCAGTATTAATTATCCAATCAAATGCATTGAAAACCGAAACTAACTCACTGGGAATTAAGATTTCATCCTGAACACAACTTACTTGCTTTCCACACTTCGGCTTAGCTGGATTGCTGCTTGCTGCTCACCTTTCTTACTACAAATCTGTCAAAAATGTGTTTTGAAACAGGCACCAATGAGAGTGCCAAGCTATTTGTAGCCGCAGCATGCTTATTGAAATAAATATGAATATTTAATTTGCCTCGGCTGCCAATTTGCTCTTCATTATGGATCAACATTCTGTGCAATCACTCTTTCTACAATGTCATTCCTTCTAAAGTTCCTTCATTACATATATATAGCGAGAGAGAGAAATGGCATTATTTTAATGACTTAATTTCTCGGATTTGCTACTAATGAATAATAATTGAAATGAATCTGTGTTTGCTGTTTTTTATTCACTTTAGTTTTTTACTTCTTTGTACGAAGTAAAAAGGAAGTATTGTAATCGCAAAAAGTTTCAGGCAGCATATTTCAACGAAAATATCCATTTTGACCGCTATCGAGTGCAATTTCACGATGTTTTTGCGTGATATCTGTACGTAAGGACAGAATAAAAGACTCGTTTCCTAAAAAATAATAATAATAATAATAATAAAACTCCTTTAAAATTAATTCTGAAAAGAATGTTTCGTGGCGTCTGTACGTACGTATCTCGCATAACTCAAAAACGAGTAGCCTCAGAACGTTGAAGTTTTGTATATAGGACTGCTATAACATGTAGATGAGCACCTCGTATTTTGGTTGCAATCGGCCGCACCAAACGTATATATATATATATCCACTCTGTTACCCGGCTCAGTGATCTCAGTTTCTTTACTCTTATATGTTTGTAAATTGTACAGTTTTTGCTTTAAAAATGATTGAATAATGTTGTTTTTATCTTCCGCTTAAAGTTTTTATGCCTTTAGTAAATCTGTATGCAATATTTTTAGAAGTATCAATAATTTTAAAGTTGTTTAAGTGCCGCTAAGCCTTTTTTTTTATGGCGGCCATTGATTGTTTACATTTGAAACAGCAGACTAGTAGATTTGTTGCCAATCTAGAGAAACTTAGCTTCGCAACAACAAAGGTAACGCCTTCATTTATTATTGCCAATTAAATCATGCTTAATCCTTTGTGGAATTTTTTCGAGGAAATAAGTGTTTAAGATTTACTTCATAATTTTTAATATAGATATTTTGAGTTTTTATGTATTTTTGCCTTCTTGCGAAGTGATAACTGAATTAATTGAATGAGAAATACTCAATCGTCTGTGAAAAACTGTTTCTTTTTTGTTTTGTTTGCTTAATTTCTTTTATACATCATTCTAGCTTTATTATAGTATTTGAATAGAACATGTGGCAACGATTAGATAATTCTATTCTTTAAATGATATAAATTTTGTGCATTCTGAGTTATAATATGAACGAAATATAATACTGTTAAGTGAATCTAGCGCCGGAGTGTCGCTATGGTAAACAAATACTAGAGTGAATTTTAAAGAATGCATTTATTCTATTGTGGTTTATGCGCTGTCGGCGAAGTAGATTTAATTCAATCCAATAAGTTTAAATGAAATGCAAGAAAAAATGCGTATAATTTAATATTCCGTACAAGAAAGTCATGTGGTGTACACATCAGATTTTTATTATTAATCGAATAAATTTGAAAGAAAAAGTATTATCGTACGCTCTGTTGAACGACAGCACATTATGCAGCATGGAAGCTTAACATATTTCAATATCGGCAGTAGCAGCACATTTCTTTTAAATCGCAGAACTATTAATAATTAGCAAGCGATTAATCGCAGAGCTTAAATTCGAATGACAAATACGATATTGCGTTTTGCTGAGTGGCAACACATTTCTTTTATATCTCGGAATTTCCTGATTAAATTTAATATATAAATTTCTTATGCTTTGCAAAGTGGGAGTCCATAATGGAGATTTTATTCAAAAGTTCCTTGAATTCACACAAAATACGAAGTAATTCAAAAACAAATTCAAAATTTGAGTTTTGAGGTGCACATAACCAGATAGAAGGAGTGTGGAAAATTTGGCGGATCTAGGTGTCACAGTGTTTTCACAATTTCAAGAACATAAATACATATATATATACACAGAGATTCTTGAAGATTCAGTAATAGAAACAGATAAAATCTTCAAATAAAGACTTCGACAGACTTTTTAGATAATTAGATTTAAGCAATAATAGTATAACTTATATTTATTTTAACCAATACACATAACACGCACTAGTAAGTAAGAATAATAAATAACAGATTTTTTCTCCCTTGTACGAAATAAAAGCAGTATTGTTAAGTGTGAAAAATTTCGACTATCATATTTCAGCGAAAGTATGCATTTTGACCGTTTCAACATTCATTTCGATTATTTTTTGGCGTAACTTCTGTACGTACCGACAGAATAAAGGTTTCTTTATTCCAAAAGAGTTTGTAAAATTCATTCAAAATGTCTTCTTAGTAAGGTGTGTAGTTTGGGAGATATAATCTGATCTTGAGAAAAATCAAGCTAAATATGAAGATATATGTATTGTAAAAATACATTGTAGAAATAGAAGAAAGGAATATTTGCTTAAAAAACGTCACAGAAACTTTCTGATAATGCAATCAAAGAAATTAATAAAGGAAATTACATATTCAACCATAAAAGTATGATGAATGAAGAATATTTGTAGGATTTCGAAAAAACTTT